GGGTCTTGGACATCAAACATGCCATGACACTGGCTCATCAGCCTTCTGGGAAGCGACGGAACACTTCTAGGTTGCCCTTGTCATCACTGACTCCTCACACACCTGTGAAGAGACGCGGACACGGGAGTCTGTGATCTTTCATTCTGCAAGGGGTGCCAGCTGTCCCAGGGTGGCTGCTGTTTATAAAAGTACAGGGAAGAATTACTGACCATGCGACCACACTTTAAAATATATGCGATAGAAAGAATGGGGCTTAAAACAAGCAGGATCTCTTCCTTATGTTCTCACATAGCTTAGCTGAAAACATCTGTTCACTCTGAAAGCGAAGTGATTAAAAAGCGTAACCAAAAAATCCTGCAAACTTTTGCATTACAGAGCAGTGGTAGATTTCTACCTTTCAATGAAAGGCTGTATAAGAAGAGTGGAGGAGAGGGGTCAATGCATGCGTACCGCCGGTGACCACCAAATCATGCCCTGCGGTGCCTTAGTGCAGCAGTGCGACGAGGGAAATCATGCAAACGGCCTCCATACACAGGACAACGGGCTCCAACGGGGTGGGGACCGGGGACATTTACGGAGAAGGTCTCTTGAACAGTTTGGTCATGGGACTGTTGAACGGATCCCTAACAACCTTGTAACTGATCGGTGGTCTCAAAGTACGATTAGACAGCTACTGAGTATTTTGTATGTCATTATTATGAAACCCCTGAGTAAGCAATTGCAGGTTACAAAGGGACATCCAGAAGCAGGACATATTTCTAAAGAGAGCCCTCCATATACGCTTCACAGGGACACAGGGTTACTGTACACAGACGTTGGCATACAGGCCGTACCAGATCACAAAGGGCATCTGAAGTCAGGCCCTTGAAGACCAAACACATTAGGTCAGCTAACAGAACAATGGCTAAAAACGTATTTTACTTACAAATTCTAAATCTAAAATGTAAAAAAGGTTGATAGTTTACCTTAAAATAAACAAACAAACAAAAAAAAAACAACCCACAAAATATCAGAACAGGGAAGCCGAAGAGCTTATGTAAAACCTAGGACTAAAACCAGAAGCAACTGATTTTAATCAATGATTCAGAAACGCACCATTAAGTAGCCAACTTCTTGTGGGATGTAATAGTTTAAAGAGAAAAGGAACATAAAAAGTCTTCCAGAAAGTTGCCTCACATCATCTTATATTGCTCACGACCCTCTGACTCTGTACTGTCTCAAACGGCATTTCTTCATATATACGGTTTTCATAATCAGATTAGGTCCCCTTAAAAAGAGACCTCTTACATCAGCTCTTTTACTTCCTTCAAATTTAATAAAGAAGTGACTTTATTTATTGGCTCCTTCCACCTATTTTTCCTAATTAAAAACACTGTTCTGAAAATATAAAGTTGAAAACACTGACTTTTTGGATATATACACGTACTCCACGAATAATCAGAAAGAGAAGCCCACCAACTTTTCCAGTGGCGTTCATCTGATGACGGGTCACTTTCCACACAGGGCGGTCACCCGCTTTATAGCTACTAATGGGAACGGGGTTCTGTAAGAACCCTCCTGTAAGAAGCTCCTCAAGTCCAAGAGGGGAGCAAATCTCAGGCACCCTGGGCTAGGTCCATACCAGGGGCTCCACGTATGCATCAGAGGAGGCTGCTGACGAATGCGGGGGGGCGGGGGGGGGTAAGATCTGGTGCTGTGAGGGGGCCCTGCCAGCTATCTTCAGTAACAGAAAGCAGCAAGGCTGAGTTCTGGAGTTCACATATCCCTTATTGTGCAAAGTGACATTTGAGGAAGGTCTCTGTTCAGAATGACACGCAAATAGTGATGACAAGGTACCTCAGGCCACTACTTACACGTCTGAATGAACACTGCCTTTCAAAGTCAATTCTCTGGGGACTGAGATGTGCCACATCCTGAGAGCCCCGTGTCCAAAACTCCCTATGGAGCTGGATCAAGAGCTGACAAGAAAATCACCTCTACTCTCTACCCCATACTCCTAAGTTGGTTTTGCCCCCAGAAGGTATCCCTCCAACTTAATGTTTTTCAACAGGATTTGCTATAGGAAAAAAAAGATTGCCAGCATCGAAAGGATTTTGTTCAGTTGGACAAATGTTTATCGATCCCTCCTGAGTGTAAAGCTGGGCTTCTCCTGTGGGTAGAAGTGCACACCCGATGAAATTACATATACGCAAGCGCTCTGTTATGTTACTTATCAGCTTCTACTAATCCCTACAAGACAAATTACCTTTTGCTGCAGGATCTCCCTACAGGTTACTCCAAGGGAGGGATCCTAAAAATGTTTTGGGCAATGAGAGCAAGGTGCTTCCTCTGCCGACAAGCATACTAATGTTTTCTCATCTCTAATTGGGTGACAGCAAGCTTAACAACCCCAGAAACCTTGGAGGATTATGGAGAAAAGGTCTTAACTATCTTTTCTCTCTGTTCCCATCTTAGACGGTACCTACAGATTAGTACTTAAACTAAAAGCAAACGCTGTATGTCCAGGAGAAAGCGTTGACCGTGCCAAACTGCAGGTCAAGATGAATTTATCACCTAGTATGAGGTTCAATTGCTAGTTCCTTTTATTTAGGACCCTGTGAGCCTTATACATCTTGAACACATTTATGCTCTGGTGAGGAAAATATCTATCAAAAAACACTGTGCATTTCTCTGGGGGTGGGAAAGGGGGAGTACAAAAGGTAACGTATTCAAGATTCAAGCTATCCTGATCTGTGTTCCAATGATCCCCGATAAAAACCCAGATAGAAACCAAGGCCGTACCTCTGTAAATGTGAAATGGCCACACCGAGCACCTTGCTTCTATGTGTGTCCAGAGCCTGGGTGGCGAGTCTGAGGCATGTGCAGTGTGTCCATGCCCTCTCCAAGAGACCTCCCGAGTTTGCCGGGGGTGACAGAGTGGCAGCAGCTGCTCAGAGGGGACACTTGCAGTGTCCCGGTGGCACCCCCTTGCAACAGGACATGCCTAAAGTGCCTCCATTCAAGGTTCAAACATAGACTGGCTGTATGTTTGTTTCTCCCTCTCAGGAAGCTACGTGGAGGCCAGGAAGTGTGAAGTAGCCTCTAGCTCGGCCATCACGTTCACACTAGCCAGAGAAGGAGATCCACACGACTGCTCGTGGGGGCGGGGGAAACGACACACATGCCTTGGCTGTTGCCAGTAACAAGTGCTAAAATACAAGAGAATCGATACTATTTTAGCACCTTTCCCCCAGCCTTAAAACATTTGTTTTTCTTTAAGCATTTTCCAGAAGTCCTTACGTGAGTAGCATACCTGCTTCATTAATCTGAGCTACATAAATGTCAATTTGTTTAAAGACAGATAAAAAGACAAAATCAAAACCCCTCCCTACATGCGCCTCTGCCTAAGGAGAGGGTTCTCTTTGTCAGAGGAGAATCACCTGGGGCTGCGCAGGTAGCATGCACCTGTGCCCTTCAAAGGCCCTCACCTTCTACCCTGCGGCACTACCTTCTGTGGGAACTTCTCCTCCAGCTGCTAGGAGGAAGCAGCCTCAGGTGGGGAAGCCTCGATGACTTTCCTCCCTCGCCCACCCTTGGCAGCTTGGCCTACTGGAGAGTCCTGGCGTCACACACTTTCCAGGAGAATGCCTACCCAGGTTGTTTTGTGCAAGTTTAAATCGTACCTCTAAATTCTGATATAGTCTCAAAGCTTTTGAGGTTGATAAGCAGCTGTATTTAGTTTGCTTCGTACTAGTGGTGATGGTACCAAGATTGATCAGAGAGCACATTCAGAACCACGGTCCCTGAACGCAATGCCCACGCCTGATGGTGGGCGCCGATGTGGGCTCAATTAAGAAAATGGTGAGTAGACTTGCTCTACTTCTCACCCTCCCTTTATTTTATTTCAATGAAAGTCTCCTCCTCTCTGGGGGAAAAAAAAAGGGGCACATCATTTAGTTCATGCAGAAGAAGAGTTCTGCAAACTAGAATTTAAACTAGAATTTCATGTGCTTCTCCAACTCTGGGTGCACAAGAATTAACTAGAAAGTTTACTCGAATGCAGATTCCTGAGTCTCCCCCAACCGCCTCCCCCCCCTCCCCCAACTAGTCTTCAGGGCAGGCCTGGGAATTCGTTCTCTGAGAAAGCACTCTGCGTGATTTGGATGCACAGGCAGTCCAGATCACACTTTGCAATCATTGGCTTCCTCTAGTCAGAAGCTATATAGGACTGTGCGTAAACTCCTCAACTTCTAAACCTCACTTCTGAAATGGACAGTAAGCCCCAAATGTCACAGTCTCATTGTAACGTCCAATTCAGATGGTGCATGGGAACGCATGCCGGCGAAGTGAGGGCCCTAGAGAGGGGTCATCGCGGATGACCTGCACATCTCTGCCAGACTGTCTCCCTGCTTGGGGTTAGGCCACACCACTCAGACCTTCCCCCCCCCGCCCTGCCAGAGACAGGGATGCACTCTGTGTTTGTGTCTTCCTCCTTGACACTGACAGGCCCGCACCGAGGCCCTGAACACCGGGACTACACAGGCGCTTCCTGCCCACAGGGCCGTGGAAGAGAGGATACTCTGAACATCTAGGAATACCAACTCTACATTTCAGTAGCTTCAACAAAGGGGCTTAGCCTTCCCCCCAATTTTTAGTCTAAGTTGACCGAAACACTGGCTATGCGTTACCGTCCCTGGTACAGAATTTGCTCATTTTCAGCTGGGGCTCAGGAGGCCCTTTAAAACTAAAAGGTAAAAACAAAACACTACACCGACGAATTCATTTGTCAAATCTGCTCTTATAACTTGCTGTTCGATTCTAGTATAAGTGCTCTGATTTGGTTTCCAGGAGGCCCTTTGAACTGAAATATATAGCACCTTGATTTTTAAACACACAAAACACATACGCATTAAAAAAAATGATATATAAAAGCACTAGGCTTTGCCTCCTTCTCTCCATCCCACCAAGTAAGGGGCTGGAGAGGTTTGAAGCTGCTGCTGGAAATTAAGCAGAGCCACAAAACACGTTAGCAGACTTTATTCCCTGAAGGGAGGAGGCAGCGCGGTCCCGCAGACGTCATACCACCTCGTCTGACTCCAGTCCGTGGACCTCGTACAAAGTGTCCAGTATCGCCAGCTGCTTTTCCATGGCAGGGAGGTAAAGGCCGAGGTCCCTCTGCATCCCGGCACTAAATGCCGCTTTCCGGTGGTCACCTTCCTTGATGGTTAACGCGGCCACAAAATCTTCGTAGGACGGAGCTGCCCTCAGAGCTAACTGTAAAAGAACCGCCCGTGAGAATCCGCATGCCTCTTGCTCTTGCACGATTTCCTCTTATGCAGGAGTACATACGTGCACACATACACTCACACACACACATAGATGAGGAGGGCCACAATACACCCTTCCAATCCACGGACTCTGAGAAAACAAGTATGTGCTCGGGCCATGTTGAGGATGAATGATGCCAACGGATCTGGGAATGTTGAGAGGAAAGTCAGAGAAAAGCCTCCTTCTCATTCACAGTGTGGTCCAGACCGTCCCTCTGAGTCTTCAGAATCCACCTGCGTGCATGGTGCTCCCACAGCCTTTGTTCCCACGTGGCCAGCCTTCCATGGCACCTCACTCTCTTATTTGTGTCCCATCTCTGCAGGTTTCTTTGCCTGTCCCTCTTTCCCCCCATGTGGGAAATATTTTCTCTGCACCTGTGAGTATTTTCTCAGAGAGAAGGGAGCTAACATTTGTTGTCTGCTTGTGCACTGAGGCTGTAACATATTTTATCTCACTCAATCTGTTTAAGAACCCAGTACAGTTTATAGCCCTAGTTTACAGATGAACATTATGTAGCTAATAAGTGCCAGGGCCAGGATCTGAACTTAGGATCGACTCCACGTCACCACACCACGCCACACCACTTCCCCGACAGAACAGTTCCTAGGCCCCGGACGGCTCTCTTCCTTTCGTAGGCCAGCTGTTCCGTAAGGCTGCCAAAATCTGCTGTCTGGCATCCACTCGACTGGTTCTGCTGCGACCTCTGGAGACTTGGGAATGCTGTAGTTACTCTACACTTTCTTTCCTGAGCTTTCTTATTCTTTAAAAGTCTTTGGGAATAAACCTCACCCCCTTTCTGCAGTGGGAGACTGGGATTATCACGCAGTGGTTAAAGCATAGGCTTGGGCTAAAGAGACATGGACTCGGATCCCAAACTTTCACATATGAGCTCGAGAAATTTAAGCAAAGTGCCAAACCTCCTAGAACCTGCATTTCCTCTGTAGAAGAGGATTGGTACCGCTTTCCTTATTTGAAAAGATGAATGGAATACATATGACATGCTTAGCCCACTTTCTGGCACATACCAAATACTGAAGTAATGGTAGAAGACAAAGGAGAGCACAGAGAATGAAGGGAAGGCAATTCTCTAAAACGTGACATGAGAAAATCTCCTGGAGTTGAAGGGTAGGAGTCTTCAGATGTAAAGACCTGCCCAGTACTTGGCATAGTGAAGGATAAAGACAAAAGGAGAAGGTCATGCAATTTCAGAATGTGAGGATAAAGATCCCAGAAGCACCCAGAGGGGTGCAGAACAGTTTCTATGTAATGGAGCAGGAGCTCATTAGACTCTACAGCAGTAACAGTGGAAGCTTAAGGACAAGAGAGGAACGCCTTCAAAATTCTGAGGGAATATTATTAACCTGGAATCTATACAAGCCAGAGAGAGCACCACTCTAGTAAAGGAGGGCAGAATAAAGACATCTTCAGGCATGCAGGAACTCGAAAGTTTAGCTCTCTTGTACCATTTTTTGGAAGCTAGTAGGGGACAACATTAAACAAGGGATTAGATCAACAAACAAGTAACAGAACCTGGGTAGTTAGTGTGAGATGGGGATTCTGTACAGAAAAACTTGTAAGGAAGAGTCCTAGGGCACAGCAGTTCAACAGGCCTGAACAACCAAATAAGACTGACACAGAGTTTAGAAAGTTCTAGAAGGGAAATCTCAAAGAAAAACAGCCAACACAGAGAGTAAGAGAGTATGGTACATCTGTGGGTTCAGAATGGTGGTGATTTGAGATTTGATGATGTGGGGAAAACAGAAAACCTGTATAAGAAAAAACAACTCCCTGCCCCTATACAATTTTGACTCATCTTCTTCATGTTAACTCGTACTATAATTACATTGGGAAGGGGGAGGCAGGGGAAGTGAGGTCGTGATAGTAAGGTCTAAAGAGAGCTACATTCTAATCTATAACAGAAAGTCAACATTAATGACTAACACTGATAAGGCCAGAAAGAACAGTAAACATGTTTAGGATCACAGAGGTACTGGAAGAAACAGTCACAGCAGCTGAAGGCGGCAGCCTCTCTGGAGTAAGTCTGGAAAGGAGGGGAGAGAAGGCAGGGGCTGCTATTTTTTCGTTATAACTTTTGGACTTTTTGAGAAAAAAAAAAAAAAAATCAAGCCCTATGCACATGTATTTAGGTACAGTAAAATTTTTGAAAAGCGTCTCCGGAGCCGGGCCCCATACTGTGTCTCTCTCAGAGGTTCCTACAGGACTAGGGTGCAGTCAAGTCTCCTTGCGAACCAGCGACAGAACTCAACTGAAGAGGAAACCCAAGAGGTCAAATGACCAGTGTAGGGCGGACGCTGGAGGCAGAGCATAGCCTGGGTTTCAGGGCTGTAAATTACAACTGCCTGAAGATAGAAGTTTGCTGTTTGGCTGGTACGTTAATCAAATTGCTGGAATGTAAAAGAGCTTCTCTGTGGAACTGAGAGTAGTCAGACAGATCTGCCCCTGCTAATTACGTGGCACACTGAGGAACAATACACTTTCTAAAGCAGGGGTGACGTGGAGAGTAGCAGTAGAGGCTGTTGTCAAAGGCTCATCATAATCTGTTTTTTTAAAAACCAGCAACTTTAAAAATTATTGGCAATACTCTCAAGAACCTTCAAAATGTTCTTCCCCTATAATTTCGGGTGTATTACTTCCCCTCTGTGACTTCTTTGTCTGTAACAGGGAAAGTGAGAATATACTTAGGAATAGTGAGGTTAACAATTTTATGTATGTGAAGCACTTAAAACAACATTTGGTACACAGTAAGTGCTCAAAATTCTAAGTTCTAATAGTTCTTGGTATTAACCCTAACAATTCTACTTCTAGGAGCCCATTTTTTAGGAAATAAATGTTTTAGTCAAAAATGCATATAAACAAGTGCTGTCGTATTTTTAACAGCAGACTCAGAGGCAGCTTAAATCTCTAACACAGAGGCCTGGGCAAATAAATCATGTTATCTCCATGCTAGAGGAATATTATGCAGTCACTAAAAATAATGATTTTCAAAAACTCTTATGGCATTTAAAAATGGCCATAATTGCCTCTGTTAAGTGGGAGGAAAATAATACAAAATTATTACAAGCTAAATATTAAAAAATGTACATGCATATAGAGTATGCAAAAATAATTTTACATGTAGAACATTTAGATATAAAAATATAAACACCTGTAAGTAGATATATAGATAAACATAAAATTAAATAGAATACTCTTAAAAGAATACATAAATATATATAAAAATGAAAGGTAAGAGGTAAAACACAAAAATGTTAAATATGGTTATTATATATGGAGTGGTGAGAATACGGACAATTAAAATTTTTCCCTTTGTATTCTTCTATGATTTCTACTTTTTTTTATTCTCAAGTCCTATATGCTGGGGAAAATGCTATAAATTAGAAAGTGTTTTTAGGGGCGCCTGGGTGGCTCAGTCGGTTAAGCGTCTGACTTTGGCTCAGGTCATGATCTCACAGTTCGTGAGTTTGAGCCCCGCGCTGCGCTCTGTGCTGACAGCTCAGAGACTGGAGCCTGCGTTGGATTCTGTGTCTCTCTCTCTCTCTGCTCTTCCCCCACTCATGCTCTGTCTCTCTCTCCTTTAAAAATAAATAAACACTGAAAAAAAAAAAGAAACTTGCAAAAGAAAAAAAATTATTTACAAAAAGTGTTTTTAAAGACCCTTATATTAAATTTTCTCCTACATTTTCATTTCTGTTGGCAACATCTCCTGGATCCTGAGTATTTCAGGATTAAACTCTGACTCCTATGCTGTAACAGCAACTACAACACACTGACGTTCCTTATGAACAGGGCAACTCAGTGTCCCAGGCTTGTCATCTAACCAAGGGAACTGGGGTTTCCGGCACCTACAAGCAGTCAGTGTTCACGCCGGGAGATGAGTGAATGCAGCTGCGTCCGCTGCCGAATCCCTCAGCGGCAGCCTCTCAGCGTCGTCTTCCCTGCAGACAGTGGCGACGTGGCCTTGGAGACAGCAGAGCGGGTTGAGGCCTAGGCTCTGCCACAGCTTCAATCTGGGACTCTGGGACTCGAATGGACAGTTCTGAACTTGTAGAACAGCGAGAGTAAATCCTGAGGTTACTTAAGATGCTGAATGCACCAGTACGTGGCACTGTCCCTGCTAGACAAAGGTGTCCAACAGCCAAACGGTAGCTATTACTATGATTATGCAACACACACTGAAGGCAAGTGTGAGCACTCTGTGGCTGCGACCTGCCTAGCTCCTACTGAGTGAGTGCTGGGGTGTGCACCGAGTCCTCTCCAGGCTTTCCAAACCAGTTCAGTACATTTTATTTCTTCCACTGTATCTTTCCCAGTTTCTTTAATTGCCTCCTAATAAATCATGACCTGAACAGTCCTTACCTCAGGCAAATAATGTGTCCTATCCTTTAATTAGTAAAAGACACATACAAGGCTATTTTGACCCTACTACCTTTCACAGAACACCTGCACTAAGGTGCGTGCTAGTGTACCACCACCCGGGACTCTGCCTTTTCACAGCTGTCCCTGACTAAGGCTGACCTCTCCTCAGATGGGAGAATCACAGAGTACCACTGAGGACATAAAGGGGCCACCTATCTACTCCTGCTATTTTACAAAGCAGGCTAAGTGATCTGTCCAGGAGACTACGGTTTCTAGGCATGTGTTCTTAGGTTTTTCCATGCTGGCAAGGAAGAAATGACGAAGTAACAGGAGCCAAAACACACAAGGACAAACGTCTCCAACAATGAAAATGATGGTCTAAGAAGCCCTAGCTGCTGACACACCCAATTTAGCCAGTCAAAGAAAAAATCCGACTAAGCTTAGAATTAACAGGATGGAATACAATGGGCAGCAGAGGGTGCTATGAGCTTGAAGGCCCCACTCGTCTTCCATCAGTGGGGGTATCTGGCAGCTTCCCGCCTACCCCTGCACTGATACCCTTTAGTACCTTATCTGAAAGCCAACCACTTCTGTGGCAAATTTCCACATGGTCAGTGGAGTTGGACAAGGAAAAGCACATTAACAGTCTTCTAGTCCAGATGTCTTTTTTTGGGCCAACATTTACACACTAAATAGACAACGTTATGTTCCTATTCTTGAGAACAAAGCAAACAGAAATGCTATACACACACACACACACACACACACACCCTGCTGTGACCATCAGAACATCATAAGGCAAGATCACTTACCGCAAAAACCCCTCGAACTACCCAGCCGTGGTGCTGCCGTAATGTTTTACCATATGCATTATCTTGAAAAGAAGAAAAATGCCATGAACCACAATTTCACCAGAATGTGATGTGCTATCACATCCTTTCTAATGCACACAGTACCATGATTCTATTAGTATTACGAGCTGATGAAAAAAGTCTAATTACAAGAGTATGTACCCCAAAAGTCTTGAGTAGGAAAAAGCCTTACACAATTTTTTTTTTCTAAGAAGAACAGATAGTTCCATTCTTACCTTGTGTAAATGTACCTGAACTTCAGTTTATTATCACGGTGGGAAAAGTCCCATACATATCAGGATATAAAGGTGGGGAGAGGATACTGGAAAAGCTAGACTAAATACAAATAGAAATACACTATAAGAACATAAAAATGCAGGGGTGCCTGGGTGGCTCTGTCAGTTAAGTGTCCGACTTCGGCTCAGGTCATGATCTCATGGTTCGTGGGTTTGAGCCCCGTATTGGGCTCTGTGCTGACAACTCAGAGCCTGGAACCTGCTTTGGATTCTGTGTCCCCTCTCTCTCTGCTCTCCCCTCTCCACCCTGCTCATGCTGTCTCTCAAATATAAATAATAAATGTTTAAAAAATATAAATATGCAGTTCTCTGAATGTTGCGTGACCCTTAGCCAGTCCCTTAGCTGTCCTCTCTGTTTCCCTCTTTATAACCTCTGAGTTTCTTTTCAATTCTAACATTCTATTCTAGGATGTCAAATGTTTGTCCTAGATGTCCCTATGACCCTGGATATGCAGAATTAAACCTAGAAACCTTTAAAACTACTGTGGAAAGAATGGCTTGAAGTTACTAAGCTAGTTATAAAGTACTTGATGAGACCTATTAATAAAAGTCATTCATATTTTACACTTTAAAGATCAAAACCTATGAATTTTGTCCCGATGTGTTTTAAAATGAGATTTAAAAACTTGCATATACTAACTTTATTTTATTTTTTTTTAATGTTTTATTTATTTCTGAGAGAGAGAGAGAGAGAGAGAAGGGGAGGGTCTGAGAGAGAGGGAAACACAGAATCTGAAACAGGCTCCAGGCTCTGAGCTAGCTGTAAGCACAGAGCCTGACGCAGGGCTCGAACCCACAAACTGTAAGATCATGACCTGAGCCGAAGTTGGTCACTTAACCGACTGAGCCACCCAGGAGCCCCTGCACATACTAATTTTAATTACAAGAAAATCTGAAGAACAAAATGACTGCATGTTATGCAAGGGATGTGTTCCTGAGGGCTATGAATAATATATGCAAAATTCAAAGCCGATCTTTCCCCGGGAGTAAGTGCATCCTCAGGAGGCACAGATCTACATTAACACAGTGCACTTACATTAACGCCATTTCATTTTTGAGCAGCGCCTCCAGTGCTCTCAGGCCTCATTCCTAAATAACAGTACATGGGGTCGTGGGGGTTGTTTGACCCTCGTCAGCATGTTTTACCACAGCTAAACTTTACTCCAGACTTATTTATTTTCATGAGCTAGCTTCCGCACCAATACAAGTCTACCACCATTTAATCAATGATTAGGGGGCATTATAATAGAATATAAAAATATTTCAAATTATAATAAGAGATGTTAAAATAACGGAAAAACAGACTCCAAGACCATAACCACAAGGTCACGTGGTCAACAGCAACGTGGTTCACAGAATGCTGCTGAAAGTTATCAGGTGTCTGCATGTTACTGGACCAAGCAGTGCTGCCGTGTGGCTGTAGCTTAAATGCATCTTTTTTTTTTTTTTTTTCAAATGCATCTTACAATTTACTCAAGCCCTCTAGCTTTGAAATTATGTAATTTGTGTCAACTCTTATTTTTATAACTTGGATGAGGCTTTATTAATACTTTGAGCATACCGTACTATCAATTTTATATAATTTAAGCTTGCATAAAGAACAATTTATATTTGATATAAAAAACTGTACATTTGAACTATGATAGATTTCTCTGGTTATCTAAAGTTTTAGGAACAGGTGGAAATGCCAGCAGCCCAATTGGTAAAGGTAGAGTAGAAATGATAAAAGAATCAATAAATTCAAGTATGAAGAAGACTCCTATAAACAGCCTAAAGGAGAACTGAAGATTACTTTTTTTCCTTAGGAGAAAAAAGTCTGTATAGACCTAGGGCGTGGTCACAGATACAAGTCTTCAATCTGAGGCACTCTTAAACTCTGACTCCGCAAGGGGATGGATGGTATCAGGGACACTGCAGATGGTATATAAGGCCTTGGTGAAGAAAGAGTTGCTGGCCTACCAAGTGTATAATGCAGATGGGCAGAAAATACGAGGCACAGCGTCTGAAGTAAATCAGGAAGACAATCAACTTTCCACCATCCTTTCCAAGGAGCCACTTGGGCTGGCAGGATAGTGTACAGGTCCATGGGTGCTCCATGCTGAGGTGAGTCACCGAGGTAGGACAGTGAGAACACTTCATTTCTTGTGATCTTAATCCGGGTGAAGAATTAGATGCCGTTATACATCAACAAACAGAATTTAGTGACATTAAAATCTGCCAGTGGAGACCCATGATGGAATGAAGGTCTACCACATGCCCACTGTGCAAGACAGGGGAAATCCTTAGGGGATTTGAAATCCGTCAGTCCACTGTCCTCGGGGAGTTACTGGGCTAACGAGAACCAGCCATTTAACCAAGTGTTACTATGTAAACTGCCAACCGCTATAGTGAAGATCCGTGTACAGTTCTTTCTGTGAGAACAGAAACAAACCCAGCCTGCAGACATGTAACAAGGAATTCTCCAAAAGAGTCCCAAAGGCGGGGAGGGGCGGACAGAAGGGCGGGGCGGGGGGGGGGGGAGCTGCAGACAGCAAGCACCAAGGAGCTGTGAGGGGCCTTGGTGCACAGTGTACAGGGGAGTAGTTCACTGGGGCTGAAGACCACTGCGGCGAGGGCCAAAGGGCAAGGGCTTCTATATGCCAAGGATTCGTATTCTGAACTTTCCCCTGGAGGCACAGGGGCACTTCTAAAAAAAAATAACACTTCACTGCTTTTCTGTAATTTCACAAGTAATGCATGCTCACTGCTGAAAATAAGGAAAAGACAAAAAGGAGGGAAGTGAAGAAACCTATCAGCATGCCTCCCAAAGATAACCACAGTGGGCACTCTTTTCCTATACACACTGTGTTATTCTCCTCTAACAGTCACGATCACTTGGATTTGGAACTGTGGTCGGGAAGTAGCGAGGTGAGGTTCGCACTTCGTTATGGTAGGCTGCAAACAAAGCTGTCTGGGTTCCTCAGTCTTCGGCTCCCCAGTGCCCCTGGCTGGACAAACTGCCTGTTCAGAGGCTCTGGATCCAGTGCTACTCCAACCTCAGGGACTCTACACCTTTCCTACACCTTGCTACTTGAGTCAACCCTTCAAAAAAGCCCAGAAACCCTTGTCTGTGCCAGCTTCTGTAGGACAGCAGGAAAAGACGGGTGCTATGAGCCCCAATAATGTGGGCAGCCTGGTCTAAGGAAGGGGGAGTGTTCATGCACAGCAGCCTGACGTGTGTCCTCCCGCCTGGCCCTCCTGGAGGAGACGGCTGCTCCCTGCTGTGCCCACACCTTGCCAGAGAAGAGTTCCGCCACGGGGCCAAATGTGCGCCGCTAGTCTAATAGGAGAAGAAAGACTCAGAGAATTTGGGATGGGTCTTGACGCAGGTCCTGGAAGACCACTATTCCAATTTAAAATGAACACATGAGGGGCGCCTGGGTGGCTTAGTCGGTTGGGCGTCCGACTTTCGCTCAGGTCATGATCTTGCAGTTCGTGGGTTCGAGCCCCACGTCGGGCTTTGTGCTGGCTGCCAGCTCGGAGCCTGGAGCCTGTTTCAGTCTGTGACTCCCTCTCTCTCTGACCCTCCCCTGCTCACGCTGTGTCTCTCTCTCTCTCCTAGAAATAAATAAAACATTAAAAAAAAAAATCTTTAAAAAAAAAAATAAAATGAACACATGAAAGAAAATTCGTTAAAAAAAAAAAAAAAGGTCTTGCCACAGTCCTTTGCTGATGTCTAGGCCTGCAAATATCCCTGCCGCGTGAGGCTGAATTAAAATAAAATGAAGTCTAAGCCTGACCTATTTTGGTTACCTAGAGAAGATTAGATAATGAAACACATTCATCTTCACTGTAATATCCATTCATTATCATAATGCATGTTCTAGAACCTGGAAGTATTTCTGGCCTCTGAAAGACACAAATGATCCCCTTCTCCCAGATCTTTGAGATGTGTCAGTTCCTCAGAGATGGAGTCAAACTTTCTGAGTAGGAAGACACGATAATCACCTTGTCCAGTTCTTTTCCTTCTACAAAAGAAGAAACAGAAGACCTGGAGAGATGGTGACTTGCCCAAGATCACAAAGCTAAACACAGTGAGAACTTGGGGCATTCTTCTTGTCACATCAAACCATTCTGCTAAAAAACTAGTGTGTACTTTTTGCGATACAAAATAACCAAAATGAAAAATGTCCTTTTTCTAGCAAGTATTAGAACCTTTTTCTATTTGTGGAAATAAAATAAATCTGATTTCTTTACTGGTAACTCAGAAATTTGCCGAGACACTTACTTATTTTTACTTATTTTTTTAAATGTTTTTAAATGTTTTATTTATTTTTGAGAGAGAGAGAGAGAGACAGCATGAGCAGGGGAGGGTCAGAGAGAGAGGGAGACACAGAATCTAAAGACAGGCTCCAGGTTCTGAGCTGTCAGCACAGAGCCCGACACGGGGCTCGAACTCACAAACCGTGAGATCTGACCTCAGCAGAAGTCGGACGCTCAACTGACTGAGCCACCCAGGCGCCCCTATTTTTATTTTTTTTTAAAGATTTTATTTTTGGGGTGCCTGGGTGGCTCAGTGGGTTAAGTGGACTTTGACTCAGTGAGGGTTGTGAGTTCAAGCTCTATGTCAGGCTCTGTGCAGACAGCTCAGAGTGTGGAGCCTGCTTCTGATTCTGTGTCTCCCTCTCTCCCTCTTTCCCTCCCCTGCTTGTGCTCTCTCAAAAGTAAATAAACATTTAAAAAAAATA